AGGGTTTAGGGTCCATCTTGGGACTTCAATGCACTCCAAAAGGGGTTTCTGGTCCATGTACCTTAATAGGGGTTATCGCAGCAGAGGGTGTAGGAACCCAATTATAGGGTTTCTAAACCCTAAATCCTAAACCCTAAGCCCACAGCCCTAAGCCCTAAGCCGCAATTATAGGGTTCATTTGGTCCCCAAGCAAGGGACAGAAAAAACCGAAGCCCTAAACACCACCCCCCCCCCCCCCCCCCCAACAAAGCATGGGAAGTGCAATCCAGGGTCGAGCTATAACAGGGTTTAGGGTTTCTCCGACGGCCAAGTGGCACAAATTGGGATGTCAGTCTAGGGCTTAGGGGGGTTTTTACGGTTTTGGGGGTCTAGGGTTTAGGGTTCAGGGTTTAGGGTTTAGGGTTTGGGAAGTTTAGGATTTAGGGAGTGTAGGGTTTAGAGATTTCCGAGCTGACTGAACGACTTTCATAGGATCCATTGCTCTAAGTTTAGGAATCTGAATCAGGGTTTTGGGGCTTTAGGGTTTGTAAGTTCTAGAATTGCCTTTGGCATTCCACTCCGCGGTTCGGACGCATGTTGGAGTCTGTTGCACTTGAGCTCAAGGGGTTCCCTGTTCCCTAGATTCTAAACCCTAAACGGGACTTGAGCCGTGCGATGTGCTTGTACTGCCTTGTGCGCTGCCATTTGCTCCAAAAAGGGCTCTGTGCGTAGTCCCAAAGTAGGGGAACTCCTAAAAATCCCCAAAAATGTCCAGACTGGGCTTAGGGTTTAGGGTTTCGGGCTTAGGGCTTAGGGTTACTCCAGCCCCCCCCCCCCCCCCCCCCCAAAAAAAAAAAAAGTACCCCTAATTTCGGAACTTCCCTCCCCCCCCCCCCCCCCCCGATGGATGTAAAGCCTCCTTCCTCAAGCTCTCACTTCTGCTTCCATCAGCCCATCACCAGGCTCGGCAGGGATCCATGATTTAGGTTTAGGGTTTAGGGTTTAGGGATTTAGGGGTTAGGGTTTAGGGTTTAGGGGTTTAGGGGTTAGGGTTTAGGGTTTAGGGGTTTAGAGTTTAGGGTTTAGGGGTTTAGGGGTTTAGGGTTTAGGGGTTTAGGGGTTTAGGGGTTTAGGGGTTTAGGGGTTTAGGGGTTTAGGGGTTTAGGGGTTTAGGGGTTTAGGGGTTTAGGGGTTTAGGGGTTTAGGGGTTTAGGTGTTTAGGGGTTTAGGGGTTTAGGGGTTTAGGGGTTTAGGGGTTTAGGGGTTTAGGGGTTTAGGGGTTTAGGGGTTTAGGGGTTTAGGGGTTTAGGGGTTTAGGGTTTAGGGGTTTAGGGTTTAGGGGTTTGGGCGTTTAGGGTTTAGGGGTTTGGGCGTTAAGGGTTAAGGGTTTAGGGGTCCGGGTGGCTTTTGTCACATGGGAGTTTCCGAAATTATGGATACCTCAATGGGATCCTTATTTTCAGGGAACTCTACTATCTGGGGTCTATACTAGGGGCCCCTTCTTCTTCTAAGCCCCCATATGAGTAATCGGATTCATGTGTGTCCGGAAACCCAGAGCTCTCTTGGCCATCTGATGGTTTCGACCCGCAAAGCCCTGAAATTTCCACCGTTGTGTTGTTAGATTTCTGGGTTTAGGGTTTAGGGTTTAGGGTTTAGGGTTTAGGGTTTAGGGTTTAGGGTTTAGGGTTTAGGGTTAGGGTTTAGGGTTTAGGACCAGGCTTCCTTGAAGCTCTGTTTTCGGGACCGCGCGATAAGCTCGTCTTAGTCCGCTGCACCAGGATTGATGTAAGCCTAATTGGATCATAACTTGGTAGCCCAGTGGTGCCCTTTACTCTTTTTTTGGTTCTGGCTTCCCTTATAAAATAACCAACCCCCAAAAAGGGTGCCCTTATTTTGATATGGTTACTGGGCTACCAAGATAAATTCAGGGGTGAGATTTTGGATTTCGAGTTGGTACGCTTGGCGCAAGTCGGACAAGGATGCAAGGACCATGCCATTCCTAAGGGTCCTTGTTTCTCAACAAAAATATCTGAGGGTACTGTACCTATTTGTTCCGACTAGAGAATGACGGAATTCGGTAACTTCTATTTGTGTAAGATACCTAAATTCCCTCGATGACTCATTCCCTGCTAAGAACCAGTAGCAAGTCCTCCCCCAAAACCCTTCAAAGGTATTTAGGGTTCAGGGTTCGGGGTCCCCCCTACACCTTCAACTCCAAACCACAGGATGAGGATGTCGATCGTCATAGCCGGACGCCAGATTCGAGCTGCCACCTGGCTGCAAACACATGTGTGGGGTTGCGCGGGGGGGGGGGGGGTCTCATAGGGATAAGAGTTGGGGTTGAGAGTTTAAGTTCCCTAAGCCCTAAACCGTAAACCCTAAACCCTAAGGCCCTCTATCGTGCATTTTGTTGTTGGCCCAGATGCAAGAGGAACGATACAAAGAAAGCCACCACGCATGGAGGGCTTAGGGTTTCTTCAGAGGGGCATGGTCCGGATGTGGGAGTATGCAGATTCGGTCCTAACACCCTCAACCCTAAACCCTAAACTTTTAAACTTCAAAACCCTAAACCCTAAACCCGAACCCTAAACCCTAAACCCTAAACCCTGAACCCTAAACCTATGCTAAACATATGCCCGAAGCCCTAAACCCTAAACCCTAAACCCTAAACAGGCCCCAAACCTGTAGGTCTTCCTGGATTTCCTACGCAGCCCGAAACCCCAAGCCCATGCCCTGCAAGGCTCGCGGACAAGGAGGCCACGACGGTTAAAACCTTACTTCTCCAACAGCTGAACTTTAAACTTTTTGGGTTCCCTTATTTAGTAGGAATAATATAGTTTAACCTTGTTTTCCCCTTGGTTATTGGAGAAGTAAGACTCTTCCAGGCCCCGCTGCGGTGCCTTGCCGTAACTTTAGATCCTTAGGCATCTTTTGGGTTTATTCCCTCAGCCCTCTAAACCCTAACCCTAAACCCTAAACCCTAAACCCTAAACCCTAAACCCTAAGCCCTAAGCCCTAAGCCCTAAACCCTAAACCCTAAACCCTAAACCTATAGCTACCCTGCTAAGTGCAGCCAAGGCACGACTATGTCTGCCCAAGCTCCAGCCCAATCCTGGACATTGTCCACCCCCACCCTAAGCCCGAAGTCCCTAAGTCCCAAACCATCCCCAACCTAAACCCCTAAACCCTAAACCCTAAACCCTAAACCCTAAACCCTAAACCCTAAACCCTAAACCCTAAACCCTAAACCCTAAACCCTAAACCCTAAACCCTAGCGCGGCCCTTGCGGCCAGCAGAAGCACGAAGTCATTCTATGATTAATCACAGGGATGGAACCCAAAACTTGAACCTGGACCCAACTTACTTAGCCGAGAGCTGAACTTCAAACTTTTTTGGGTTTCTTTATTTACTAGGAATATTCAAGTTTAACCTTTTTTCCACTTTAAACTTTTTGGGTTTCTGTATTTAGTAGGAATCATCAAGTTTAACCTTTATCCCCCCTGGTCATTGGAGAAGTAAGCCCACAAGTACCCTGAACGCGTGAGAACTCAAGCCTATCCCTTAAGCCTCTGTAGGCCCTAAAAGCTTAGTAGCTGAGTGAGTACACTTTACACTTTTTGGGATACTACAACCCCCTATAGAACTGAAAGTGTACACTATGGGGGGGGGGCTTATGAACTCAGCAACTAAGAAAACCTAAACCTTTTGATTGCACAGCCACCCCAAAAGAGAAAGAAACTGTGTTCATTGCAGGGGGTGCTTAGTTTATGGCTCATCCAGGTCGAAAGAGAATGTGGTGTCCAAGAAAACGGAACTTCAGGCGGGGTGTAGAGTTTGGGGGTTAGGGTTTAAGGTTTTTTGCTTAGGGTTAGGATTTGGGGTTTGGGGGTTGGGGTTCAGGGGTTGGGTAGGGTTTAGGGCTTATGGGTTTAGACAGACTTTCATCTGATCATAATAGGGGCCCCAATTACGGGATGGGGGTAGCCAAATATACCTAAACCCTAAACCCTAAACCCGATATCACACATGGAACTTGAGACCCCAGCGTGGTTGATGTCTCGACCCTACACCCTAAATCCTAAGCCCTTTGCAAGAGAAGACCATGGAGTTGCTTTGGGTTTAGGGTTTAGGGTTTAGGGTTGAGGGTTGAGGGTTTAGGGTTTAGGGTTTAGGGTTGGGGTTTAGGGCTTGGGGTTTAGCACTTCTATCCGGCGCCTTCTGACCACGGCTTTGCAGCATGTACAGAGCAATGCTGCCTTGCGCATGATGTAGGCGAACATGCGGGATAGAGCGATGTTAGGGATTAGGGCTTAGGGTTCAGGGTTTAGGGTTTAGGGTTTCGGATTTAGGGTTTAGGGTTTCGGGTTTAGGGTTTAGGGTTTCGGGGTTTTGTTCTTTGATGTGCTTCGCATGAGTTGTGTAGTGTTGGAGGCACCTACTGCTGTGTTTTCGAGCCGGGGTTGGTCCTTGTCACATGGTTGTTGCTCAACCCTAAAACCATATAACCCTAAACCCCAAACCCTAAACCCTAAAACCATATAACCCTAAACCCTAAAACGCTAAACCCTAAACCCTAAAACCATATAACCCTAAACCCCAAACCCTAAACCAAAAATTGACTACTCGTCTGTTGTAGAGGAGGCGATCCACTGCGTTGCTAGCCACCCTACTAGTTCAACAGATAGCTTGCGAATGCCAGGTCATTTAGGGTTTAGGGTTTAGGGTTTAGGGTTTAGGGTTTGTGGCATCTGATATCAGAGGCTTCATGTTCCCCGTAGTCAGGCCTGTCAAGTGCCCGTTTTGGGGATCATAGGGTATATTGGCCTGGAGAAGGACTGAGACTGCAAGACTTGCTTGTTGGAAGGTTCTTCATCGAGTTCGCCAGCTACCTGACACCTGGCGTGAAGAGGCTTTATGTTTCTGAATGTGGCTTGGCATCTGCATGACCTCTGGTTCTAGCTCCCGGCTCAAGACAGTAGTGCTGTTACCGCTTTACTCTGACCCCTGGCCTGCTAGAAGCCATGATGCCTCTCACAATGTGGATGCTTCTGGAACTTCTGGCTCTTAGAGCCAATGCTGAGGCCAGTGCTTGCGACGGTTCGGGATGTGCGGAAGCGGAGGCGGATGCGCAGGGCCTTCTGCAACTTGTAAAGGGGGATCCCAGTGGTTCATCATGTTCAGCCCACTCCCAGTGTAACGAGCTGCGGCTCTCAGGGCAATGTTGCCCGACTACCGATGGCACGTACCTCTACTGCTGTGATGCGGGGAGCTCGGACTCGCACACTGCCACAACAAAGCCATCGCCCACGCCTTCCCCACCTGCCACCACTACCAACGCACCCCGCCGCAAGAAGTCGACACCGGATGTGACGAGCCCAACTCACCAAACCGTTCCGGCTGCTGTGCAGCTTGAGTGCTCCGGCGAGGGCTTCCTCAATTGCTGGACCTTCGACACCGAGTCCGACCCCACCCACGGCTACATCAAGTACGCATCTTGCTCGCACGCGCGTTAAGGATGCGGGAGGCCCTCACTCTAAGCCTTAGCTCTTAGGTACGCCATTTTTCTGGGTTTTGGAGTAGTATACTTTAATACTTTTTTTGGTTTGGGGTTCCTTTGATAGCTACTTCTACCTCGAAAGTATATACTTTTTTTCAGGGTCTACTCCAAAGCTGGGTTTTGGAGGGCTGGACTTCTGAAGTGAAGCTCTGAGGTGTCGCAGTCGGAAGCCATGCAACTCGGACTTTATCGCCTGGAAGGTGGCGCTGTACGCCTTGGAAGCATCGTGGGGACGAACGAGCCTGTCAAGGCTCGCGATTCGCACAAGACCCCACCCTATGATGCCCCAAGTCAGAGGGCTGAAAGAGCGTGCAAGAAGTAGTTTAAATGAGGGTTCAGGGTTTAGGGTTTAGGGTTTAGGGTTTAGGGTTTAGGGTTCAGGGTGGGCTGGGCATCGCATGAGAATCTTCAGGCTGTCCGGCTGCAGTCGGCGACGAAGTTCTCGCCGGGACACATCTTCGTCATCGACATCCAACATATGCCAACAGGAGCGGGGCCACGGAACAGGGTTTAGGGTTTAGGGTTTAGGGTTTGGGGTTTAGGGTTTAGGGTTTAGGGTTTAGGGTTTCGGGTGTAGGGTTTAGGGGTTAGGGTTTAGGGTTTAGGGTTTAGGGTTCAGGGGTTTAGGGTTTAGGGTTTAGGGTTTAGAGCTCAGGGTTTGCAAATTGCAAGCGGTCCGCTGCGCGCCGGCCGCCTCGGCCCGGGTCCGCAGATCTAAGCCCGGCGAAGGTCTCAAGGGTCCCCAGAAATTGTTTCGCAGTCTCTAGAGGGTCCTTGGATTGGGTTGAGGCGCTTGGTAGGTGAGAGAACTGTGTGAAATCGCGTTTCAGAAGGCGATGTTGGGGTCTCTGGGGAGGGGATACGAGGTGTGGGGAACAGGTGGTCTCTGTGTGAAAACATGCCTGAAGTTACCTGGAGGTTTCCGAGACTCGGGGCAATTACCCAGTTCTGATAGCCACGGGCTATTGTTTTGCCTGTACCCTCTACTGGCGGAACATGCCCATGTTCCGCCGGATTGAGCCCTAAACCCTACTCGGGGAACCCTAAACCCTAAACCCTAAACCCTAAACCCTAAACCCTAAACCCTAAACCCTAAACCCTAAACCCTAAACCCCCACGAGGTAAAGGCACCTGGCCTGCTTGGTGGTCCTATGGACCCGGCTGGCCGAACAGCGGTGAGATCGATACCATCGAGACGGTGCTGGACGAGACCTACGTGCACTCGACACTGCACTCCAGTGCCGGCTGCAACATGCCGGTTTCAGGGATCCTTGGATAGCATGTCGTTGAGTTCAGCCTACTGGTTCGTAGTAGGGAATGAGGGGAAATGGTGCCCCAAGCAATCCCTTAAGTGTATGTTTGTGTGTGTATAGTGGGTTTAGGGGGTTTATAAGGTACCAAATTCCCTCATTCCCTAGAAAGAGCCCATACTTCAAGTGTTGCCCTTTCGGCAAAGTGTTCACACTTACTCCTGACAGCGCGCGTGTGATTCTGACCGAGGCTGTTCAACCCCAATTGTAATGCTGGTAACGGCAATGAGGGCTGTGGAATGGACGGGCCTGCTGGAAGTGGAGGCTCAACTTTCAACCAGAACGGAGGTGGTGTCTTTGCCACAATGTGGACCACTAGCGGGATCAAGATGTGGTGGTGGCCCAGGAAGCAGATTCCGTCAGACATCACGAGCGACAAGCCGGACTCTTCGAGTTGGGGGGAGCCTTACGTGACTTTTCCGTTCGGAACCCAATGTCCCTCATCTCATTTCAAGGACATGACTTTGGTGATCAACTTGGACTTCTGTGGCGACTGGGAAGGCAGTGTGTTCCCAGGCGGCGACAGCGCTTGCATCGACTACGTGAAGAACCCGGCCAATGTCAACGCCCTTTCTGAGGCATACTGGAACATCAACTACGTCAAGGCCCGGAATCACGAACACAAACAAACGGAAAGACAGACAGACAATGACAGACAGACAGACAGACAGACAGACAGACAGACAGACAGACAATGACACAATGACAGACAGACAGACACGCAGACTTATGTGTATGTACATCTATATATATATATATATGTACAGTACATATATCATATAGATACAAGTACATACCAAATGAATAAACAAAAACATACATACATACATACATACATACATACATACATACATACATACATACATACATACATACATACATACGTACATACATACACACATACATACATACATACATATATATATATATATATACATATACATATACATATATATATATATATATATATGCATGTGTCAAGACCGTTGAGAACAAAGGGAACAGTCGGGGGGGGAAGGTGCGAAAAAAAAAGACAGCTTCCGGCAAGGTTTGCCCTTCAAACACCCTGGGGTGTCGTTACTTGGCCAGGTGTTTGCTGCCACCACAACCATGACGGCGTGATGAAAATATGACCTCTGCCTCCTTTGTGGGGTGTTTAGTTTCAACGCGCAGGCACACGTGAGGCACACAGGTTTCAAATGCTTGCAGATGGAATATGACCCGTTTTGTACCGCCCTCACAAGTAGGGGGAAGTGCCAATTTCACAGAGTGGTGGCGCACCTCACCACTCTCCAGTAAGGGGATGGGAGCGTGCTATACTTTTGCACCGCGCCGCTGGACCTGCCGGCAAAACTGCCACGTACTCGTCTTGCACCAAAGCAGTGAATCCATCCGACCCAACAGGACAAGTGACTCTCCACATGCTGTGCTGCTCCCTTGGGGTTTAGGGTTTAGGGTTTAGGGTTTAAGGTTTAGGGTTTAGGGTCTAAGGTGTAGGGTCTCTGGCCATGCTGCACCTTTGGAAGCTCAGGATCTCCATCGACGAAGTTGGCCTGGCGTGCGGAAGAGGGCCAGAAGCTCGCGGGCACAGAGGCCAGTCGGGAGGTTTAGGGTTTAGGGTTTAGGGTTTAGGGTTTAGGGTTTAGGGTTTAGGGTTTGTATGCGCCCGCTTTCCGCGTAATCGACCCCTCCCCATGGTATCCCCCTCCAAACCCTGCCTGGTAAGCCTAAAAACACCCCGTGGTCCACGGGAGGGGACAGAGAAACCTCAACCTAAATCCTAAACCCTGAACCGTAAGCCCTAAAACCTAAACCCACCAATGAACGACAGGGGGGGAGAAGGGTAAGCCCGAAACCTTAGCTGCTTTAACCCTGAACCCTGAACCGTAAACCCAGCACCACAGACCATGAACCACAGGGGGGGCGGGGGGGAGGGGGGGGGGGTGCGGCTGTGCTGGCCCATAATGCAAGGGTTAAGGGTTTAGGGTTTAGGGTTTAGGAGCCACCGTCATCTGTGTCAGTCTGCTCTAAGGCCCTAAACACACACACACACATCCCTGAACCCCCAATTTCGAAAAAGGATTGCTTTAAAGCCCTACACCCCAAACCATAACTCTAAACCCTAAACCCCAATCCCTAACCCTGAACCCCCCAAGGACGATGTGGCAGCGCGACTGGACATGCACGTCGAGGCTCGTGGTACAATGCCCAGGGTTGCTCGAAATTCGCGATGGTCTATTCGGCCTTCTCACCCCTATAACCAACCCTATAAAGGGCCTTTTACCCTAAACCCGAAACCCTATTATAAACCCTAAACCCTAAACCCTAAACCCGAGCCCATCCTGGTAAGGCCCAAACCCCAAACCTACATCCTAAACGAGGGTGGCGGGAGGCCAAACTTCTTCTGTTTGGGTCATGTGCTTAGGGTTTAGGGTTTAGGGTTTAGGGTTTATAGGGCCCATGTGGTCCCCCAATTGGGCTTAGAATGTGTGAGGGCATTGTTCTACCCTAAACCCGAACCCTAAACCCTATACCCTATACCCTATAGCCCGAAGCAGCTGTTTTCTAGGATTTCACTCGCCTCAGCTCTGGGCTCGAGTCTACTTTCCTCTCTGGGCCCCGTTCTCTCCCCCTCCGTGCGTGAGCCCCAGATGTTCAGTGCGGAGCTTCAGATCCTTGCGGAGGCGACCCAGGTGCGCATGCCATGCCTCCTCGGCAGGACTGCGCCGGGCCAGGTGTGGCAGCCGCGCGCCTGCATGTCCGCGCCCTTTGCGGAGACCGGCGTGGCTCCCCTCCCGGGCTCCTTGCCGGCAGCTCGGGTGTCTGCCGCTGCTCCGAAGTCTCCCGTTGCGGGAGGCTACGGCCCACCCCCCGGCCTCTTAGGGATACTTGGAAAGATTTTCTAAATTCTTGGGTATCCCCAATTTCTAAGAAATAGCTTTTTAATTATAATTTTAGGGTACTTGGATTCCTAAGAAGCAGCGATAATTACAACTTTTGCTGGGGTTCCGAGTTCCGCCTAGGCCTCAGCGGGCCAATGGCTTGCGCCGACTGCGAGGAGCCTGCTTGCGCCTCGAGCCCGAAGCCCGTTCCTTTGTGGTGCTTTACTGTGACTTTAGATCTTTAGCCTTTTTGGGTTTATTGGGTTTCTTAAGAAGGCAGCTAAAAATTAGATTTATAGCTACCCTGCTAAGAGCAGCCAAGGTTCCTCCCGGGCTCATCTCATCTCTGGAGAGCATCGGCAACCACAAAGGTCCTTGGTATAATTTACATATTTTTCCCTTACTAGGTTTAAGAGGACACTTTCCCTCATTGGGCTACTAAGAGGCAACTACAAAGGCCCTTCGGATAATTTACATATTTTGTCCCTTGTTGGGTTCAAGAGGATAGCAACTACAAAGGCCCTTCGGATATTTTACATATGTTGTCCTTTATTGGGTCATTGAGAGGATACTAGAAAGGCCCTTCGGATATGGTATGTTTTCCCTTTTTTGGGTTTTAGAGGATGATATTTAGGGAATTGTTTTTGTACTTTCCCTTATTAGGTTTAACCGGAGGAGATCTAGATTTTTTTTGAATTTACTGTCCCTTATTCGGTTTAGGAGCAGGATATCTAGGGATTTTCTTTTATATTTGCTGTTCCCTATTAGGTGCAAGAGGAGGATATGTAGGAGGATATCCGAAACCCTAAACCCTAAACCCTAAAACCTAAACCCTAAACCAGGCAACGACTCGCAGAAAGAGGCATCGGCGGGTTCCACGGAGGCAGAGGCGGCAGCGAGCCGATTGAAGCTTAGCAGCTGAGTGAGTTTAGGGTTTAGGGTTTAGGGTTTAGGGTTTAGGGTTTAGGGTTTAGGGTTTAGGGTTTAGGGTTTAGGGTTTAGGGTACACCTTACACTTTCTGGGCATATCATCCCTATAGAACTGAAAGTGTACACTTTTCGAATTTTTGGCGGCCTTATGAACTCAGCAACTAAGGAAGGGTGGTAAGACTACGGTCATGCTCCGCCACATTCCCAATCTGCACACTCGGTTAGGCCCTTGTGTGATTTGTTTCTTATTTTCCCTTGTTGGGGTTTAAGAGGAGGAATTTTAGGAAAACCCTAAACCTAAACCCTAAACCCTTGAGTCATTTTCAGAGGGTTTTAAGGGGGCCATCCTAGGTATAGCATCGAGGAGTTGTTGCGTGAGGTCGCCGCGGCAGGCTTCGAACATAAGTTCGACTTCTTCTACCTTCCCATCGACTGGGAAACCAAGCGAAATCGTGGATACGCCTTCATCAACTTCCAGTCCCTTGAAAAAGCCAACTGAACCCAAGAATTAGGGCTCCACATCTGCTCTTGCAATTCCCTAGTTATAGGTAAGATGGAGCCACAAGACCCCTTTTAGAACTCATGGAGTGCCCAAGGTCCAGTCAGGTGGCACAGAAGGGTCTCTTCACGTCAAAAACCTCAAAAATGGCGCTTTTTTTACGTTAAAATTAAAAAACGCCCAAACAATTGTTTTGTTTAACGTTAAAAGCCCAAGGTCCAGTCAGGTGGCACAGAAGTTCGCCCTGGCCTTCCACCATCGGAAGCTCAAGCTCCACAGGTCGTCAAAGATCGCCGAGGTGGTGCCGGCCAAGATGCAGGGCTGCCTGGTAGCCCAGTGGTTCCCTTTGGCCCCCGCCTTCTTTATTATTACTTTTACTATCCATGCATAGATATATATATATATATATGCACAATATATATATATATATATACATATTATTTATTTACTTGTTAATCTGTTTAGTTATCTATTTACTTTTTCATTTTATGTTCCTATTGTCTATCTATCTATCTATCTATCTATCTATCTATCTATCTATCTATCTATATATATATGTGTGTGTGTGTGTGTATGTGTTTTATTTACGTATACTTTATGGGGGGGTAAGGGATGTTCGAAGTTCCCTTGCAAAGTAGCCACCCTAAGCCCTAGCCCTTAGTATAGTGCGGGTAATGTTTTAGGGTTTAGGGTTTAGGGTTTAGGGTTTAGGGTTTAGGGTTCAGGGTTCAGGGTTCAGGGTTTCGGTTGGCTACCCAGGCTACGAAGCGAATGTGGCCCACTTCTCCAAGGTGGACGCCAGTCAACGACGAGTAAAGAATCGCCATTTCAAGCCCCTGCTCCTCCGACGAGCCTCGGGGAGCTTGAGTTGCCCTAAACCCGAAACCCGAAACCCGAAACCCTGAACCCTACACCCTAAACCCTAAACTCTAACCCTTAAACCCTAGTTGCAGTAATTCATGTACAAAATCCCGAAGGGTCCATGTACCTATCTAGCATATTACTTGGGCCTTAAACTGGTAGCTTTCGGGATCAAGTACACACGACAGAGGTACGTGGACCCTTTTGGGGCATGCAGAAACTCTCAGGGTAGTTGCATGGTCCCTTCATATGGGCCCTTAAATGGGGGACCCCTTATAAACCACAAATAGCCCATACTCCGGAACCCCTTAAAGAAGATAGGGGACCATATTAAGGACCCCTAATTAAACCCTAAACCCGTATTAGTGGACCATGTAACTTCCCTTAGAGAGACGCATTCAATGCGCCGAATCGGAACAAACACCCCTAAACCCAAAACCCTAACCCTGCACCCTACACCCTAAACTCTAAACCCTGCACTTGGAGGAACCTCTCAACCCACCCTAAACCCTAAACCCTAAATCCTATAAACCCTAAACCCTAAACCCCCTGTTCATGAACTCCAGTTTTTGTTCCGGTCAAGTTGCCTGGAGCCATTGGGTCTGGAATTCGCCGCTTTGGCGTCCTGCCTCTGAGTGATACCTTACACCCGAAACCATAAACCCTAAACCCTCAACCCTAAACCTTAAGCCCTAAACCCTAAACCCTGAACCTGAAAGCTGGCAGTAGCTCAGTCAAGAGCGAAGGCAGGACCAGAGCCGCAAAGGGTCCATGTACCTCTATAGACTAAGGCCTCGCAGTGGTTCCTAAATTGACCCTGAACCCTAAACCCTAAACCCTAAACCCTAAACCCTAAACCCTAAACCCTGAACCCTGAACCCTAAACCCTAAACCCTAAACCCTAAACCCTAAACCCTAAACCCTAAACCCTAAACCCTAAACCGGACCCG